TTGCCTTCGTGTGAAACTAATATTACGTCCTCTGCTAGCACCGGCGCGTGTTCCCTGTCGATCTTCATTCTAGTCTTAAGATTACTCTGTTAAAACTGTAAATCTGGGATAAAGGACTTGACAATATTTATGCTTAGCTTTGTCTAAATCGAGTTATAGATGATATACATAGGAAAAAGCAAACATATGTCATGTTTCAAAGAATGTAAACATATACTAAGTAACACTTTGAGGATTTTAGTAAGTTTCGGTTATTATACGATGATGAATAGTCTTTTTATTCAGTTTCTATCACTGAATTTACTTTATTTATGTAATAACTAGCTTTCGCCCGCGACTCCGTCCGCGTGGCATTGAAAAAAACAAAAGTGAATAGCCTATGTGTTCTTCCAGACTATCCTCCACATCTACCAAATTTCATCGAAATCCGTTCAGCCGTTTAGGCTACAAACTGACAAACATCCATCCATCCATATAAACTTTAGCACTTATAATATTAGTATGATTTTACTTACGGAAAATAGTCGATTGCCGTCAATTAGGTGTTGATTTCAGTTTCACGAAATCAAACTCCGCAGTACATATCGCTTAATAAATAAATAACAAATCGTGATCGAGGCGAAGGCGGGGCAAAGATTTAATGAATTATGGAAATCTTTTATGTACTCTTATTTTGTAAATATGTTATTTAAGACTTGCGAATCGTGATCGTTATATTTTAAGGTTGTTTAGAGGGGAGGCGTGTTTCTAACAGAAGCGTTAATTTAAATCATACAAATATATTTAAATCGATTTTATCTCCTTATCGATTGTTTACTTGAAATAAAAATAAAAAAAACTCTATAATGGACAAAAATACATTTTTAACAAAATTCAATGGGGCTTTGTCTCCTGAACTAATTATAAATGAACTCCTGAACTAATAAAAATATAAATGCAAACTATATAATGCCATATACAATTGTAAAGTAAAATAAAAAGGTACTTTTGGAAAATTATCATCTAGAATATTTTATAAATATCCCGATTTAAAAATTCCATTCAGTAAATCAGTACCGTAGTAATATTCAGTGTTTTTCTATGATTCCATTTTTAACAGATCTTTGAGCCTAGAATATTCTTAAAATTAATATGTGTGTATCTTGAAATATAAACAAGCACCTTTATGTCCCGCGCGGCCTTCGAATCTAAATTGCTCGAGAGCAACAAATTAGTGTTGAAAAAGATTGATATTAGCAGCCCAATTCGCACGCTGTCAAATTAGCTATTTAATGAAATGGTTTGGGGTGGGCGGCCATCTTGATTATGTTAAAGGATGTTCAAAAAATCTTGTATATTTACTAGCAAGAGAAATAAAATGCAACAATCAGCGTAGTGTAGAAGATAAAAAAGTTGTAGGTGAAATAACGTGGAATTCAGAACTTTAAGTTTAAATTTGACGGAAACGTATAAAATTACATATTTACTAGTTTCGCCCGCGACTCCGTCAGCGTGGTATTGAAAAAAACAAAAGTGAATGGCCTATGTATTCTTCCAGACTATCTTCTACATCTATGCCAAATTTCATCGAAATCCGTTCTGCCGCTTAGGCTACAAACTCTAACAAACATCCATCTATCCATCCATCCTTCTAAACTTTCACATTTATAATATTAGTAAAGTAATGACATCATGATCGAGTAGTGTCGTTACGAGGAAGGAAATTGTCGGTAATCAGAAAAGTGCGGTTTTCTTTGTTTCCAAATAATGATAACGGTATTTATCAAGGATTTTTTAGGTTATTGCGATATAAAGTTGCAAGTAATTTTGTAAAGTTACAAAAGTATTCAGTGTATGAAAAGTTAATCCTGTTAATGTCTAGAACCAAATATTAAATAATCTAAGCTATGATCTAATCTAACCTTTTCGTTCGAAGATACGTATTACAGCTTAATTGTATGTTAGGTCTTTCCAACTGTCTAATTTTAAATACAAGCACTGTTTATGCTAACTTAATAAGAAAATCTTAAGTTCTCGTTCTGTCATAATTAAATCATATTATGGTTGTAATACTTTACAGTGTATTTTATTGTGTGTTAACGTAAACGTAGTAAAGTGGTGACGTAAAGAATATAAAATCTATAATAGTTCCGTACTGTTCATAAGTAAGTGACAAATGACATAAAGACATGTTTAATTTGAATATATTCGGTACGTGAGTGACCAGTTGACTCTGTGCAAACTATTTTACAACGTCGTTTGGTATCTTGAGTGATAAACGTGAGCGCGCACCCTATACCCGCGCCGACGTCAAACTACTCACTAACTGAAAACTGTTTTCCGTGGCGAGCTGATAATTTTTCGTTATAGTATCTCGCGATACAATTATAAAGTGTTTAGCGCGTCGTTACGCGGCGGCGGCGGTCGTGATCGGTACATTATCGCGCGATGCTTCAGGAGATACGGCGGGGGATGCAGGCACAGACGTCGCGCCGCGTCTGAGCCGCGCACACGCAGCGCACAACACAGCCGATATGCACGCAGACCCAGAGTCGCCCGCCTGCCGCGAGGAGGCCCACCTCCTGCCCGACGAGTGGCTCAAAGTGAAGACCGTGCCCGCCAATGGGAACCTCTCCCCGGGCGTCTACTACCCAACAGTCAGCAAGAGGTTCGTCGAAGCGCGCCACCCTGTGCCGTCTCCGACTGAATCCACTCCGTACTGTTTCGCTTTTGTCCTATAGTCCGCTTTCCCACATTTTATGTTTAATTACATGTTTATTGTTTAGAATTATGTTATTCCATAAGTTCATTAACGATGTTAACGCTAACGAAGGTTATCCTTAGCGTAGAGCATAGATCACTAGAGTGTCACATTAGTTAACACATGTAATATAGAGCTGAGCTATGAATAACAAAAGTCGTCGAGTCGAAACGACGCTATAAATATATTTCCGTGTTTTGTTACAGGAGTCGGTCGCACAGGCACGGTGCCACGCGCAGGACGAGACGTCGGGCCATACTTAAAAATGGCGAGTGCAACATACTCAAGTCCCGCATATCCCAGCGCCGACTACGATTCCTGCAGGATATGTTCACAACTCTTGTGGACGCACAATGGCGATGGACACTGCTCGTTTTTACTCTCTCCTTCATCCTTTCGTGGCTCGGCTTCGCACTCATCTGGTGGCTAATCGCCTTCACACACGGAGACCTGGAAGTCGACCATCTTCCACCCATGCAAGAATCCTCTAACTGGAAACCGTGCGTGTTCAACATTTACGACTTCACTTCCTGCTTCTTGTTTAGTATCGAAACTCAGCACACGATAGGATATGGCTCGCGTACTACAACAGAGGAATGTCCGAAAGCCATATTCATAATGTGCTTACAGAGTATAGTCGGTGTTATGATACAAGCGTTTATGGTGGGCATCGTGTTCGCTAAGATGACGCGGCCGAAGCACCGAACGCAAACTCTTCTGTTTTCGAAATACGCCGTCGTTTGCCAGCGCGACGGCGAGCTGTGTTTGATGTTCCGTGTCGGAGACTTGCGGAAGTCGCATATTATCGGAGCTAGTGTCAGAGCTCAATTAATACGATCCAGGACGACGAAGGAAGGCGAGCTGCTTTCTCACTATCAGACTGAATTGGAGCTGAATGCCGACGGATGCGATAGCAATCTATTCTTTATCTGGCCCATCACAATGGTGCATAGGATAAACGCCGAAAGCCCGTTCTACGGAGTGTCAGCGGCCGACGTTCTGCAGGAGAGATTCGAGATAGTTGTCATATTAGAAGGAACTATTGAGTCGACAGGACAGACTACACAGGCCCGCTCCAGTTATACGACTAGTGAAATAATGTGGGGACATAGATTCGTACCCCTTGTGTCCTATAACCGGGAGCGTCAGGGATACGAAGTAGACTACTCCAAGTTCGATGAGACCTCGCAAGTGGACACGCCGCTTTGCTCTGCTAAAGAGCTGGACGAGTTCTACGGGAACCAGCCTGATCGGAGATCAATTGGTGAGTTACATTTTTTTAAATGGAATCTAATTTAATGTGGCGGTCGGTATTGATGTGTGTGTTTTGTATATGCGTTAAAATGCTTAAAGTCAAGAATGTAACTAAAATTTGAGTTACCTGTTTTATGCAAATTAAAAATCCCCACGTAATATAAATGTAGATCACTGAACCGTAAGGTTCGAATACTTGCACAAAGTATATTTCCGCAGCTTGCCATTCTCCTTCTGATTTATCTGTGTTATTATTATTTATCTAGGGTCAACAGACGTCTTGTGTTTGTTTCTTTGCTGTGATAATGCCTAATTTATTGTCTATGATAGTTATGGAAATAAATTAGTTGTTTGTTGTTTATTCAGTATACATTATAAGTTCTTTAGCTTTTAAAAAGATAACACAACGTAGAGAATTAAATGAAGTAAAGAATTTTTTATACTCTCCTGATACTATATTTATTACATGCAAATAAATTTCATTTACTAGTATAGTTGTAGTTTACAGCAGTTATCATCTACATGTTACGACCTGTTAAGACTGAGCCATATACAAATAAGTATAGGTAAAAGTTCGTGTAGTGAATATTGTTTATACACTGTAGAATATTTGTAATATAACGATTAAACAAAACAATGACGATTAAAAAAGATAATCGGTTATTACGACTGAATATTGATGGTTCCTATGATAACAATTATGCCAAAAAATATCTATACTTCTATGCGAATATTGTAAAGAGGAAAGATTTGTATTTTTGTATGTATAACTCAGAAACTACTCGGCCGTTTTAAAAAATTATTGCTATTTTGTACAATTCACTTTTCTTTTATATGTAGAAAAATAATGAATAAGTAACTTGCGGTAACATGGTAATGGTCACAATAAAAGTATATCTAAATGTTGCTTTGTGTAAGTAATACTATATGTAGCTAACTTATCTAAATCAATGCATCAAGTTAGAACAATATGATATTATTCATATCCGATGTGCGTTATTTACGTTATGACTTATGAAGCGTGACATAAACACCTGCCTGTGCTTGAGTCCATTGCGCAATATGTTTTGTAATAAAATTCTCAATAGTAAGAAAAACTGCCGATGGAAATGTTACAAGAATTGCTATGGAGTTTCCAATAATATACATGGGCATAGAGTAGCCTACATATATGTATATATATTCCATATAATAATAATATTTTTGTAAATTAAAATCCACAGAACATAAAATAACTTAGATTGTTTAAGGAGCAACATATTTTTATTTTTATATAATATGCGGAAGTGTATATCTTCTGTAAAACGGAATACGAAACTGTGCCTCGTAGACAGGTGCTACAAAAAATCGTAGCACGAGTACGTCGACTCGACCGAGTAGACCTTTCAAAATTAAATTAAATTATTCTTTACAGTTAAACAGAATCTTTAGAATAGTTGAGATTAGTGAAGGAAAACTAGGTTTTTATTCACATTTACCCATTAGACGTTAATAATTAAAAGCAGACGCACTGCTTTGATTAAACTTTCTCACAAATGTAGTGCGATTGTCGATTGTTTCGCAGTCAATTCAACTGTTTAGTTGCACAATTAAAAATCGAGTAGTGTGCGCACCTCCATATAAGCTTATAGGAATCAAAGCGAGACTAAAGAGTTGTGCGATAGTTTAGTTTGAGGTTACGCACGTTCTAATAAAGTTTTTTTTATGTAATTTTCGTTTATAGTTTAATCTGAGGTATATGTTTGTCACTTATTTTATATATGTAATGATAAGGCATTATTGCAGGCGAGTTACGAGTTGAATGTTTTGCTTTTATCAGTCACCTTATCGAGATGGATTATCTTAGATTCTTTACTTCTGGAGGAACCACCGTTTATCACGAAAATAATAATTATGAAGAGATATGCTTAAGATATATTAAAAACTTAGTTGCATTGCATTTTAAATAACATTTGGGTTAGATATTAATGTAGTTATTAATGTAGTTATACTAGCTTTGGTCCGCGATTCCGTTTGCGTGGGATTGAACAAATAAACATGAGTATAGCCTTTCTCATCTATGCAAAATTTCATCGAGATCGGTTCAGCTGTTTAGGCTACAAACTCTAACAAACATCCATCTATATAAACTTTGGTATTTACCTTATGAGTTATAAGAAATTGTTTATTGTATGTAATAATCGTGGAGGGAATAAAATCACGTTTTATATCATTCAAAGAAATATATCAAATATAGAAAAAAGGGAATGACGTATTAACTGACATCACTAATAATGACGCATATTTTCTTATCTGTAATTGCTTTGTGTGAAAAAATTAATATTTATGAATTCCTTATAACCTTATACCGCCGACCGACTTTCCACGTAAAACTCAGAGCGTGCTATCGTAATACTGTTTAGTCTATCCTTGAATCCTATGAGCTGATATGGAGGTTACACTACTCGATTTTTAGTTGTGCAACTGAACAGTTGAATTGGCTGCAAAACAATCGACAATCGAACAACTATTGTCCGATAGTTTAGACAAGTGCACACGCTTTTATGCTCTTCGTGATGTGTTTGGAATCGGTGTTATAAAAAAATCTGTTCCTCGAAATTTGACTATCTACACAGTACAGTACACTTTAATCTGAATTACATAGGTAACTTGTTGAATAGAAATGCATATATCATTTAAAAATAGCTTGTCTAATTTCAATGAAATGTCATCTTATTAAGATCACGAAAAAAAATTGACAATTCCATTGCGACGTTCTGGTAGCAAGAAGTATTAACTCAAATTTCCCTACTTTGATCGTAAACACAGGATGTGCCATTTTGTCAATTTAAGCAGTCGACGAAACTCTCACTGTCTATCCCCCTTTTTGAAACAGGATATACATCTTATTCCTCATGAGCTCCGAGAACAATCGACATAACTAAATGGTCAATTTGCATACACCCGAATGGATGCTTATGGAAACTTCTAGTATGTACTTTATTTAAATCACTGCAAATTACTGCATATGATATTAGTAAAGATCGCTTCAATCGTTATCTTTATTCGTTTCTATTCATCGGTAACTAATTCTTATAATTATTAGAATGATGCAACGAGCATTTATAAAGTTATTGTAACTAATATTTGTTAAAGAAAATAAGACAAATGGTTTTAAATCGCTAATATTGTCTTGTTATGATTAGCAACATTTTACTTGATGTTTTCAGCTTTTACTGATGATTTGTCTAGACATGTAAATCGTTCTTTCTGGACCTTGAACCTTATTATTTCAGCAAATTTTAGTGTCATCATCCTAGGCCTATTTGTTGTTACAAATATGTCTTTCGTAGTTTCTAGAATTCCAATTTTAATATCGTGAGACAATTAGCTTTTACAACTAAATTATATCTGGTTGGTTGAATTATTTCTTCTATATTAATAGTATATTTCAGTATATTGATTGATAGGAATTTAACAATTTATATTATTCATTGTTATTGCAATCTCTCGGAGCTTATGTGCAATATTATTTGCTTTATCATCAGTTCCTTTATCAGAAATATAGGTATTTTATATAATAATCAAATGATACTGGTAAAATTTGATGGTGATTAATCGATTGTTGAAATAGTAATTATTAAAAATAAGCTTTAGATTTACTTTTAACTATACTTTTCCTCATAAACGTAAAAGGAAAATTAATTAAAAGATTAGTCGAATAAAATAGCAGTAAAACTATATTTAAATAGTTTTTTTTTATAGGTTTAGGTTAGTCGTCTAGCAAAAGTTTTTATTGACGACACTAAAGCCTAGACTATTATAGTATTATCTTCCTAATATTATAAATGCGAAAGTTTAGATGGATGGATGTTGGTAAGAGTTTGTAGCCTTAACTGCTCAATGTCTGGAAGAACATATAAACTACTTACTTTTGTTGTTTTATTTAATTCTGTGCGGATGGGGTCGCGTGCGAAAGCTAGTAATATTATAATCAATTGAAAGTGTAACGATATTATTTGTTTTGAAACCATCAAAAGTATCACTAAAATGCAAATATTCATTCTAGAAGTTACATATTATTCGACGAGATTACATTTTGATTCCTATTAAAGCCTTTTTGAATACGAATAGGAACGAACAGATGAAATTGCAGTAAATGTTTATTACTTGAAAGTAGAACAAATTTTCTCATATAAACGTTTTGTGTGTTAGATGTTTGCTTTTCCTGTTGACTGTACTGTCTACGATAACAAGATGTTAGACGTTGTGATTGAATACATGAGTAAATGAATTTATAAGGAATACTACGCACGCGAATCTATAAAAACCATCTATAGACACAAATATTTTACGCAAATAGTTCAATTTATTAGGAAACGTAAAAGCGGCTCGTATTGCAGATTAGCATTAGCAGAATTTATTAGAAAAAAATACTCTCTTTTATATGGTTTGCTAATCTATTGACTTTTTTTGTTCAGATACGTATTAATAAGTAAATTACGTACGTCTAGTACAAACTAGGCGCTAATGATAAATTGAGTTTCAATTGTGAAGACGGAGAGATAGTTATTATTTTGTATTTAAACACACACATAGGTTAATGTTCCTTGTATTTGTCTCAATTGTACGTTTTGTGTTTGTTCAATTGTTTTTATGTTTTTGTGTTTGTATGCTTATGTATTTGTCTGATTGTATGTTGTGATGTCTCGCAGAGAGCGGGGAGCACCTCGTGCTGAAGATGCCGGAGAGAGCAACAAACGAACCAAAAGCTGAACAGAAAGATGGGGACTTCACTGTCACTTTATAAACTGATATACGAAATAGCTCTATTTTCGAACATTGGGTTTTTAACTTTTTTTTGTTCTATTTAAGAGTAGTGAATCTCATGATTTAGATTTAAGTCTCAATAATGATATAATTAATTAATAGAAACCAATACAATTATCATATAATTCCAGTTACATAACTAGTCATATAGATTAGAGGATATAATCTCAGTGATAACAAGGTTAAACCTAAAAGGTTGTGCAAATAATTCTAATTTTATGAATAAACATTCCAGTGTCGAGCGTAGTATTATATATTTATTGTATGAAGGTTGATAAATATTATGTTAAAGTACAAAGTTGTGAACAATTTTCATTTTCAATTCGCGGAAATGTTCTCAATTTCAATGCAAATGCAATTTTGAAAATAGATTCGAAATGTTCTTAGGCTCGTATTGTATAATTTTATGTTGAAATATCCATTGTGTTACGTAATAGATAAAGTTGTATATTTGCTATATCGTTTTATGTAAATATTGAATGATAATTTATGTTCCAACGTTTATTCGTGTTTGATTTATACCTTTCCTCTGTTAATATGTTAAATGAGTATGCATTTCTCCTTCTTAGTTTCTTAAAGATATATTTTTTAAATCTAGAAATGACTAGCATTGTTGCTAAGATAATAGAACTAAAATAAAATGGTGAAATATTAGTCAAAAAAGTTAAGATAAGTTACGTATTTTAATTTCGTTAAGGATTATATTCCAATTAAAAATAATATTAGGTCACGAGTGACAAATATTGGTAAAATTAGATTTTACTCCTTGGTAGTAATTAAAAAAAATGTTTTCTGGAAATCTGTATTTGTCGCTGCTTTTTTGTTTGTTCTGCTAATTGTGACGTCAACTTTTAATCAGGTAAGAACTTTAACATATAATGAGAGGAATGGAATGAACGATCCTGAGTAATCTTGTTATTAACAACAGTTGTAGAAACGTTGGTAAAATCATAATAGAATTATACGATAACTAGAAAGCTGCAGATTTATATACTTCCATAATGATGATGATATTTTTTCGATATAATATTTCTTCATATAAAGATCAATAACTTAATCTTTATCTACCTACTGTTGGACATAGACCACTACTCCTCCCCATATTTTTTTATCAGTTCAGAATGTAATTTTAAAAATATAATTAACATGTTAAACTGTAATTTTTCAGTTTACTCTGGCAACACACTGCCTAGGGAGATTCTATACGACAACGGCAAAGAAGTTCCTTCATCGCCCCTCATCAATCTAGCAGACAGACTGGTAGTAGATGCTATCAGGAGAGCCAGCCTTACAAATCGACCCTCTATTGTTAAATATCCGCCAGACTACTTTAACAGCCACGAAGACCATTCGTCATCATCAAGCGAAGACGAGAAAACCAAAAAGAAACAAGGTTCTAGAAAAAGTAGTGCGAAAGCTGTCTAAGTAGTCGAATATGAATTGTTTGGCCAAAGCGCCATCTATTGACGAGAAGCGATGCTTCTCGTAGCGTATTAATAATACTACATAGTTTTAAATGTCTAAAATGCTATTCTAGTTTAACTTTGTCGATAAAATTATGTAATAGATTGTATATTTAAAATAATATTTTATAAATAAATAATACTATAGTACTTTGATGATCTTCAATAAAGTATCCTAATTAGCTGTTAATTTTATATAAATAATACTTAATGCAGAAAATAAAACAATTGTTAATAATTATAAATATTTGTTTTATTAAAATACTTTTATATCAGGAAATACAAAGCTTTAAATGGCTACACTGGCAGCGCCCGCGCTACACGCCTCACATCGGGACATCAAAATAAATTAAATTCCACCTAAGTGCAGTAATGAAAACACCGCACATTAATAAAACATTAACATGTTATATTCGCAGTACCTATTTAAACAAAGCATTAGTACAACTAACACTTAAATTAAAAAAAACTACCCAAAAGTATGTAAATATTTTTGTCAAACATTCTAACAATTAAACATTGAGTTCACACTGTTGGAACATTTTCATAAAATTTTTCTATCTCGAAACATTCCTTATTATTTATGTATATGTTTCAACAATATACACGCGTAATGGAAAATTACAATTTGTAAAACAATAGTAAAATAGTAACTTTGTTTTTACAGTTCTGCGTATCTACAAGAATTGGATTTGATCCAAAAGGAACGAATTCGCATAAGACTGTTTACACTAGACTGTAATCGAAATTTGATTTCGAAATTTTTAGATTTATCCATCGTTAGTTTAACTGCCGATAGAATGCAGATATAACATACAATTTTATTATAATATATTTACCTAATCACGGGGACATATGCATTTATTTATGTATATGTGTAAAGCCAGTATTTCAATAAGTTTTTAAAATTCGTGTATTCGTGATATTTGAATATAGTTATGTGAATACGTAGTAACAATTTAAATGATCATAAACAGCCAAATATTACAATTGTTCTATATAAATGGGATATAACATAGTCTGTGAAATACAAAGCTTGGATTTTTTTATTAATTTAAACCTATAGATATAAAATACATTACTTTAATGCTATTTGGCACAAGCTCGTCATATTTATTTTAAAAATACTGCAAAATACCAGTCTCAAGCACAGAGTATACTATAAAATCTAAGTACGCCGCGCCATTTTTTTTTCATTATCTATTAGTATAATAAAATAGATTATTAACTATATGGGAAGAAATATTGAACGTTGCTTAAAAACAATTAAATTAAGTTTTTATTTTAATTTACTGGAATAACAGTATATCATGTCATTAAAAGTTTTAGTAAACGTTTTAGTAAAAGTGACGTCAGAAAGTTTTGATTCTTTAATGTTAATCTACACTATTATAATAAAGCGTAAACACACATTTCTTTGTTGCCTAAGATGTCAGTAACTACAGCATATTTTCGAATAACTCTTTTTTTTAATAAAATGCCCTACACTTACGTCACGCTTTAGGCTATATATTTTCACGCCGTTAAACTTAGGGGTGAACATTTTGGATAAAAACCCTAATGTGGGAAAGAGACCATAAGTTGCTGCCATCATCAAGGAAGCAAGATTGCCTAGGTTTGTCATGTCATTTCATTTTGACATTTGCTATTAATAATTTTACAAATGTAAACAATAAAATATAATTTTATTAATTTCATGCGGATGAAGCCGCACAGTATCAGCTAGTATTAATAATGTAGACGTAATTTCTTGTATGTAGTGTAATTTATTAAGTTTCTGATAATTTATTTTGTTGATATTTTTACCTTAATGAGAATATTTCTTCCCATACATTTCTATATTGTGCTTAATTTATATTTAGTAAAAGATATCTAGATTTAAATACAATTATATTATCCAAACGAATGCTATATTATGTCCAGTGACTTTTGAATTATACATTTCGCATTTGTTCCAGTGTAACATTTATATATAGCACTAATATTTGTAATTTTGAAGATGTGGACTACTGTATGGGTAGTAGGTACTAGCTATTAATGCATGGATATGCTGGAATACTTCAAGTCAAGCCGGCTCTGGAGCTGGTGACGTCACCAGTATCGGAATAGGATGGACTGGTATCTTTTCAACTATGTGATTGTCGCTTGGAGATCTGAAAATAATATAATATTTAATTAAAACATCATATTGTGGTAGAGTTTTTACAGTAAAGTTGTAAAATCTAGTTCGAAATTATTGGAAGTAAAAGTTATTTGAACTATAGGTAAATATACAAAATAATGTAAAAATTAATAACAATAATTATTGTGTTTTTAATACGGAATTCATGAACAATGGTTCATTAGTGGTAACCTTCACGGATGCAATTTTCCGCTTAAAACAATTGGCAATGGAGTAATAATCCATGAAATATTTTAAATTCTCTTAATTGTATGGTACTTATTAAATATTCGTACTCAATTGTTTATATTCCCTAAGTTTTAACTATTTTCATCTGTTTCAAAATATCTAAATTTCTTCACCGTTTTATAAAAATTTAAGACGATTGTTAAAGCGTCTTCCAACTGGTAATATAATTGGTGGCGCAACTCACTTCAGGTCTATATTTTTAGTATGCAAACTCACTTTTTAATTTTCTGGTCCTTCTCAGGGCCATGATGTCCGACGCCGTTTGGCGTCAGTCCGTGCGCGCGCTTCATACTAGCATGGCTGTGACTGCGCTGTATATTGCCTTCTTTCGGTTGTACAATATCTTTAGCTTCCACATTCATTCCTGTCATAGAAAGGTTCTTAGGTAGAGGTACTTGTCCATTTTCGACCGCTAAATGACTATGGTTCTTTAATTTCTCGTTGACGTGCTGCACGAAGTTGTTCTGTGCCATCAGCCTGTTCTCTCTGACTCTTGCTTCTGGGATTTTGATCTCAATGTGTTCGTCTAACGACATGGAATCGACAGAACTCAGGTCCAGGGTGTCATTGGAGAAAGTCTTTGGTATTGTGCCTAGCATGCGATCTGAAAAAAAAACTTACATTTATTAAGCTTCTACAACTTTTACATGCATTTTCTATATTTGGGCTTAAGAAGGTACAAGACTAAGTATTTTTTTTTCTAATTCATACAAAACATATTGTCAACAGGAGAACAAAACCAAAACATTGCATAGCAACGTACCTAATTTCTGAGAGGTGGATACGGTTGCCCTCAGCTCATCCAACTGCTTTGCAGAACAAAGAGGTGTGTCTACCTCATAGGTGTTATTGAAGCGAGTGTAATCCACCTGGAAAAAACATTTTTTTTCTTAATTAAGGAAAAATAATTATAAAAGAAGACTTGAGTGCTATCCAGATACTAAAGTATTTGACTGATAAGACATAAGAATAATAATTAAAAGAAAAAAGATTTAAAGCGTTTAAAACCCACCGGCCTTTTTTAATAAGGAAAAGATAACTTATTTCCTCTTAGCCGACGATAATGTTCTCAAGATATTCGCAGAATATACATATTTACCTGTATAATTATATTAAAAAAGAAGCTTTAATTGTTGTTTGCCAAACGCTTTATTTTTAAATCGACGACATCGTGTTAGAAAGAATATGTCGTAAACTTTATGTTTTACAAGAAATTATACTAAGATACTTGTTCGGGTCCTTTTCCTTATTTTAAAAATTTGAACAGAGAACAGAAAAAATATTTCTTTACTTTTTTTTTATGGCACACTTAAAAGATAATGTGTTAGTAATACCTCATACTCTCCAGTATCTTTTCTGAACGACACCATTGTTTCAAAACGATGTCCCCAAAGTATTTCTGATGGTAGGAAACTGCTGCGTGCTTGAGTCGTCATACCTGTAGACTCGATCACGCCCTCTGTAAATGATAAAATCAATATGTTACTATCGTTCTTGTTGAGAATCTTGGTAACAAAGATGGTGTCTCCAACTTTGACTCACAACAAAGACATATTATTATATAATTCAATTTTTTTTTTATAAATAATGGATAACTATCAAACTTTCCTAAGGTATGTAGTCTAATTAATACTAAAGATTACATTTAAAGCGTTCTCTTACAGTTTCAATACAATATTTATCTTGTTATAATTATAATGTAATGTATAAATTACAAGCGCATAAATAGTTTAGACATATGCATTTTCTAAAGCAAGTTTTAGGGCAAACGACCAAAACGCGACAGGACAAGTGCCAACACAACGTAGAATAGAGACAACGCTTTGCATATATTAATAGGTTATGCGGTATAGAATTTATTCTTAAAAAGGAATGAAAAAATATCAAGGAAAATTGTAAGAAGTTAGCTGCTGTTGTACGAGTAAGTTGTAGGTTCCTAAGTACTGAAAGTAGATATTATGGTCCCGTATCAAAATGTTATCGAGTAAGGTTTTTGTAGAATCCAAGGTAATAATGTCTATTATATGTAATCTTTTTATACCTTACCTAACATAACAACTATCTCAAATCTCTCTCTCAGCATGTCTGAAGCTGAGAGGTTGTATAGCGGAGATTTTTCATTGATTTTATGCACTATGGTCATCGGCCAAATGAACATCAGTCTGTCTTCCTCACCGTCTGCGCCGACCTTCAGTTCCTGCTGGTAGAATGGCAACACTTCCCCTTCTCTTGTCATCTGTTGATGGCATCAAAATAATATATGTAGATTATTGTCATCAAGAGAAAGTAGAAAAATAAAGAGACTATTAGATTACTACAATCAGAACATGACTTTTAAATGTTAGAAAAGCACCAAAAGAAATAAATCTATAATGCATGATAAAAACATGTTTTGAAGTGGATGTTTTTTGATGCAGAATTTGTAAAATTGTGTAAAATGTAAATAATCAAAATTCATAACGAATTCTAGAAGTTTTCTGTGTTCAAAATGTTTCGCAACACATTAGTCATATGTTGCTTGAACGTTGATTATTTAAATTTTATAGTGGAGTTCAAGGTAAATTGTTTTTTTCATTTAAATAAATTAAATCGACATTTAAGAACAAGGCATGCGTAAAAATGATGCAGTAAATTCCAGAAAGCGAAACAAATAACGCAAATGAAAACATCAATTAAAGTGTCATTAGTATCATACATATATTTAAATTCTAATGTACTTTTTCTAGTCAAGTAAAGAACATTAGATGATTGTTAGCAAAGCAGTGTAAAAAACAAGCATTGCATGCACAGATAATTTGCAGCTTATCCATAGAGGGGTCTTTATAAAATAACAACATCACGACAGATAAAATAAACATAACATTGCATTCGCAACAACATGACACTGACGGTAAAATAAAAAAATCCAGAAACGCACTATGGGCGGTACCTTTTTCCGAATAATCTGGGCGCGGACGTGCGCTTCGAGGATATGCGATTTTCGTATATCTCCCACTCGGAATAGAAGGCAAAATTCCCCGTCTCTTAGACATATCACCGCGTTCCTGGAGAACAGGAGAGTTGTATTTCGTTTTTTGGCTCTCGCCAGCTTCGCGAATATAAGACCCACCTATGGACAAGAGAAAAGAAAATGATTCTACTTGTGAAATATTCAAACTGGGGATCGAAATTTGAGTTGTTTAAGATCAAAGGTCGATGCCCCCTACGTTATGGTGTGCGATGAATCTAAGACCACCTAATCCGGTTAGATGCAGATTAAAAGCGTGCTGACTGAAATCCCCAATCACTAACCAGTCTCCGCTTTGTTGTAATAATATACCTTGCGGCGTATAATTTGTGCTCTTATATGCGCTTCAACAATATGCGATTTCCTCATGTCCCCAACTCTGAACATCAGACACAGTTGTCCGTCTCGGAGGCATATCACTGCATTTCTGGAGTAAAGCAGGGTTTGGGCGCGTTTCTTTGGTCTAGATAGCTTTGCAAATACGATTCCCACCTAAAATTAGAAATATTCGTAGTACGCCGCATTTGTTTTATTCGATACATCTGGATGTAGCTGCTCGTATTGACCCCATTAGGATTTCGAAACATTTACCCATCGGAAACGTGCATCACTTACAAAACTCTACATTCAATATAAATTAACGTGCTTTAGTATTCGTTATCCATCTCATGTAAGAAGTAATTGAAGCGGCCAGGTGACGTATTTTTCGTAATGGTTTTTAAAAGACCATCTGGATCACAGTTTCATACGTTACTTTTGGATCATGTCCAAGTTTATTTTGATATTAAATTAATATATTGGCGCCGAAGCAGGAAGATATCTCGGACGAAATTCAATAACCCTGTAAACTAACATTGATACACAACTATATGGTTTCATTTTCAAAGCATTCCTTATTCCTTATCATAATAATATCGTCTGCCAGAATATAGAGAGCTTCTTGATTAAAATATAGACTGCTGAAAGTATTTATGACTTAGTTGACGACGTACGTTGATGAATGGAGAATTGGTATTAACTAAAATTTTACGTTAAATTCAAATATTTTTCTTAAGACTGATTAAACAAATTTTACATTTTTACTTGCATAATCAAAGATCTGGTTTCTTTTAGACATGTACTTTGTGAATGTCAAGTGAAAAAGAAACTGATTCTATTAAGAAGTAATTTTAGTAAAACATGGCTTACCATGAAAGCTTGAATGAATACACCGACGATACTCTGTAAGCACATAACAAAGATAGCTTCAGGGCACTCTTCATTGGTGGTTCTAGAGCCGTAACCGATGGTGTGCTGAGTTTCGACGGAAAAGAGGAAACAGCCGGTGAACGAATTGACGTTGTTGAGACAGGGAATGAATTCTGTAGTGCTGTTGGGA